TATCTCCTAATAAGGTCGCACTCTGAGGTACTTGGGTTAGGACTTCAACGTAGGATTGGGAGGAAGGCAAAATTCAACCCATAACACCAAGCAAAGTTGCTTTCTCCAGATATTTCTGATCTCAATGAATGGAAGCAATGTCCACCGTGTTGCTCAAGCAGAAACTTGAGTAACATCCTTATCACATCACTTGCCCTTATATTAATTTGGAGTCTAGAGCTCACAGAACTTGAAGGCAAAATTTTAGAATAGGAACCATAGCATCCAAAGGTTTACCAAGGAGTCTGTGACTGCCAAATGGCTGACAACCTCTGCTCTATATCTTTATTTTTTTAAGTGTCCACCACCTTGGTACAAAAGTAATACATACATATGAATTTTAGCAAATTATGGAAAAGTATAAAAATAAAATTTAAAATTATCCTATTATTCAGTTACCCAGAATCTCTTAATATTTTGGTCATTTCTTTGTACATTTTATGCCTTCATGCATTTTTTCTTTTTACTAGTTGGATCATACTGTATGTAAAATTTTGAATCCAGCTTTTTAAATTCAACATTGGCTCATACGTGTTTTCCTATATCTTCACAAAATCTTCATAAATAGTTTTTGTATATTATTCCATCAAATGGATAGACAATGATTGACTTAGATATTTTCTTATGATCTCATTGTCAAACGTGCAGGTGTTTTGCTGTTTTTTCACTTTTATAAACAATGCTGCAGCAACCTTTGCTGTTAATTTGGACTCAAAAACATAATTAGTTCATAATTTGGGTATGATTCAGCCGGGAGTGAAGGAGAAAGATGGACACTGTGTCTTTAGGCACTAAACTATTAGTGTAAGTTGAAGGAGAGCTAAACCTACCTATGTTAACAAATGTTTTAGGCATTATTCATGGTAGTTACTTTGTGATATAAAAATTATTCTTCATTGAATTATTAAGGTAGATCACAGTAGATTCTCCAGTCAACATTTTGCTTTGTAGTGATTCTTTATATTCTATAACAGGGCTGTCCAAAGGACCTTTTGGGATGATGGAAATGTTCTTTATCTGACCTGTCCAGTATGGCAGCAATTAACCATGCGTGATTATTGAGCACGTGAAATGTGGTTAGTGCAACTGGGGAAATTGAATTTTTAGCTTTATGTAATTTTAATTGACTTAAATTTAAATAGCTATTTGTTGCTAGTGGTTACCATATTGGATAGTGCCGTTCTATCATATGATGACTAAACACTTTTAGATTGCTTACCTTTTCCTAGACACTATTCTATGGGCTTAACATATTAATATATTTAATCCTCACAGTGACTGCATGAGGTAGTCTTCTAGTTACTATTGCTACATAATAAAATACCTCAAATCTTAGTGGCTTAAAACAACAACAAATATCTGTTATGCTCAGGAATCCACAATTTGGGCAGGGTCATGAGAAATAACTCCTCTTTGCTCCATGCAGCATCCACCGAGGCTATAGGATCCACTTTCAGGATGGCTCAGTTACGTAGCTGGCAAGTTGATGACTGTTCCTGGTTTCTCTCCTTGGGCCAGCGTGGGCTTCCTCACAGCGTGGGCTTCCTCACAGCGTGGTGGCTGGGTTCCAAAGGCAAGTGCTCCCAGAGACAGGACGTGGAAGCTGTCAGTTTCTTAGGTCCTGGGGCTTAGAAACTCACAAAGCCTCGATTCCAATATAGTCTATTGGTCAGGCAGAACACAAAGTATATATTCAAGGGAAGGAGGTGAAGACCTTACCTCTCCATGGGAGCAGTATTAAAGAATTTGGGGCCATGTTTTAAAATCATCATAGAAAGATACAATCATTTTGATTCCATTTTATAGATGAGGAAGCGAGCACAGAGCAGTTAAATAACTCCCCCAAGGTGACTTGCCTGGTAAGTCGCCAAGCTGTTCTTTATGCCAGGCAGTCTGACCTTTTAACCTCAGTGCTATATTTCATCTCTCTAATTCGTGTTTCACTAATTTAGATTCATATCTTCTCCAGTTTTTCCATGGTACAGTAATTATGAGATTAAGTGACTGATACATGTTTGTAAATCACAAACTCTGTCAATATGTAGTATCTTCAAAGGCTTGAGATAGATGTCCAAGTAGCGGTGAAGACACTGCTCAACCATGTGGTTGGGGAGGAACTGTTTGGCTCCAATTCTGAGCTCCTCTGCTCTCATTCCTATTTCCTGTTACCCCCAGAGGAGAATTTATTATCACCTCTAGATTGAAACAGACTAGTTTCTGAGTAGAACTCTCTCAGTCTTAGCATGCTTCCTGCTTCACCCATTCCTGTTGCATGGAATATGTTATTGGAAAAGAATTATTAAATAAAACTTATTTAGAATTGTAAAAGAAGTTAAAGAAATGTTTCTGGTTTTTACTGAAGTAAAGCTTGAGGTTAAAACCTAATTTAGATGATACATTTCCATATGTTTAGGGAAGTGTGTGTACTTTTGACTTGTTTGTTCATTCATTCATTTATTAATTATATTGATTCTTGGAAGAGAAATCAGAAAAAAAAATATAAGTTATGCCAAATTCTAGACGTTGCCTGATAAAATAATGAATGCAACCTTTTACGGACTTAAGAAACCGGTGATTTCCTTTCATGTTCAAAGATAATGGATATTTCCATGTGAAAGAGACATAGCCCTTGGTTGTAGGGCCTCTGGGTTGCAGATTAGGCTTCTGTTTGATACTGTTTACTGCAGTGATGAAATGCGGTCATTTCACACCTGGTATTCGTCCCCATGTAATCATTACAACATAGATTCGTTTTTCACCAAAATACTCTTGAGAGAGCTTGTAATTAAATGAATCTAGCTTTCCAATTTCTGGATTTCTTAAGCAACACGTATGAATCTCCCTGATGTAGAGAAAATCCCATTGAATCACTTCATTTTTTTTTTTTTAATTTTTTGTTTATTGCAGTAACATTGGTTTATAACATTGTATAAATTTCAGGTGTACATCACTATACTTCTATTTCTGCATAGATTACATCATGTTCACCACCCAAATACTAGTGACAACCCATCACCACACACATGTGCCGAATTATCCCTTTTGCCCTCCCCTCTCCCCCCTTCCCCTCTGGTAACTACCAATCCAATCTCTGTCTCTATGTGTTTGTTTATTGTTGTTGTTATCTACTATTTAATGAAGGAAATCATACAGTATTTGACCTTCTCCCTCTGACTTATTTCGCTTTGCATAATACCCTCGATGTCCATCCATGTTGTCACAAATGGCTGGATTTCATCGTTTCTTATGGCTGAGTAGTATTCCATTGTGTGTATATACCACATCTTCTTTATCCTTTCATCCCTTGATGGGCACTTAGGTTGCTTCCAAGTCTTGGCTATTGTGAATAATGCTGCAGTGAACACAGGGGTGCATGTATCTTTATGCATTGGTGTTTTCAAGTTCTTTGGGTAAATGCCCAGCAGTGGATTTCTGGATTTCTTAAGCAACACGTATGAATCTCCCTGATGTAGAGAAAATCCCATTGAATCACTTCAGAATCTGAACATTCCAAATAATAAGACTTCATGTCAATCACATCCCACATTTTTCTTTAGTCCTCATCCTACCTGACTCCCTCCTTCGTTTGATAATTCTCTCCTCATTTTGTGTCTGTGAACTGGTACTTTGCTGATTTTCTACACAGTCAGCTCTTTGTTATCTTAATTGGCCATATCTTATGATTGTACGCTCCAGGCTCTCTGTTTCTCACCCTCACTCCTCCATAGAGGTGATTCAGTTCCCCTTGTACGGTGGGGGTGGGGACACACACACACACACACACACACACACACACACACCTCTCTGGAGCCTAAGTGCACCCCTGCTGGCCCAGATATCTGGCTGCCTCTGGTATAAGTTCATGTGATACTTTGACATGTCTAAAAGCAAATTTCTCCTTTTCTCTAAAAGATGTCCCCTTCCCAGCTGCCTTATTTTTGAAATCATAAAATAGGTACCCACTGTTACGTTTTCTTCTTGTGCCCCAGGTATACCTTCCACGACATTTCTCCTAATCTGTCATGGTCGGCCCATGTGTTGACTTGCTTAGTGCCTGTTTCCCGTGCTACCCTACAAGCTCCAAGATGGCATTGGCTAAGTTATGTTGTTTATCACTCTGTCTTCCTCCCAGCATGGTGCTCTTCACATAATGGGCATGCCATAAATGTTAATTTGGATCAGTGAATGAATAAACAAATGCACGTCTTTCTATTTGTATGTTTGCACCCTTGTGCCAAAATCTTGATGGAGTTTTCTCTCTTTTTCCTACTCTAGATCTGTCAGTTTACTAAATTCTTCTAGAACATAAGTTCCATGAGGACGTGGATCTTTGTCCTTTTTGCTCAGTGATATGTCACAAGTGCCTAGGATGGTGCCTGATGTGTAGTTGAGCCATTACTATGTTGTAGAAATGGTTCTCAATGTTTTGCATGTATTAATTTATTTCATCTTCATAACAGCCATAGAAGGGTGAGTAGGGACTATTAATATGCCCATTTCACAAGAAACCGAGGCATGGAGATGTTCAGTCATTGTCCAGCGTCCCACAGCTGCTAAGTCGTGGAGCCGGGACTTGAAGCCATGTCTTCTGAGTCCGTACTTTTAACCACTAAATACTCTGCTACAATACGACCTAATGATTTTGTGTTTACTCTGTGCTCGACCCTTCACTAAAACTCTGTACGTTAATTCCGTGCTGTGTAGGTGCTCTTACAGATGAAGAAGCAGAGGCTGGTGTGGACAGGGACCCAGTTCATGAGTAGCAGGGACAGGATGGGACTGTTTTAACCCAAGCCTGGGCCCTCACGCTGTGCGCCTGTACTGCCAGATCTATCGGTGTCTACACAGCCGGTGGTTTGGGGAAAACAGAGTCGGATTTAACGTGAACATTTCCCAAAGTTGTTAGGTTTTCCTTGCGCCCTACAGACATCTAACGCAGCCATGCGTGTTTCTTCCCGTAGGTAATGGTAGCAGCCGCACGTTGCACTCCAGAGCAGAGACGACGCCGTCGCCCACTAGCAGTACTGGGAGCAGACACCCAGAGTATATCGCGTATGCACTTGTCCCTGTGTTCTTCATCATGGGTCTCTTTGGTGTCCTCATCTGCCACCTGCTTAAGAAGAAAGGCTATCGTTGTACAACAGAAGCCGAGCAAGACGTGGAAGAGGAAAAGGTTGAAAAGATAGGTAAATAACTTGGATCACTTGGATTGTTTTTATGGGGATGTGGGTGAGGACAGTTTTTAAATAAGAAAGCAGTCGTATATGTTTTCCATTTCTGTGAGGCAAAACGATCCATCTTAACAGCAGGTGGTGTGGTGTAGTGTCTCTGTAGATTTCACAGTAACCACAGCTAGAGTTTGAAACCTTGCTTTCATTTATTAAATACCTACCACGTAATTTACTCTTACTTGCCTCGTGGCCTTGGGCAAGTTACGTATGCTCTGAATCTCTGCTATGTATATCTTAACTGAAATTTAATTTTAATTAATTTAATACCAATTTAATTAAAATTTTAATTTAATTTATGAGGACAATAGTCTCCACCTTGTAGGATTATTGTGAAATTTAGAGAGAACATGCATTTGATGTTTGGCACATATGGCCACTCAGTAAATATTAATCCTTAGTGTTATTACTGAATTAGATTGTAATAGGAGTGATGGGGAAATTAAATAGGTCTCGCCATTTTTGTGGTATTACTTTTGCTGGGAGAGTTCTATCTTAAATCTATGTGATTGGAATTTATTAAGTAAATGATTGTGTGACAGTGCAGTAAAAGTATGGCAAGAACTGGCGCTTTAATATTAACTTGAGGGTGTCTCACCTTTTCCTCTTAACATGGAGTTGTTGGGTGGTGTTTGGAAGAACCTGAGAGAGAAAATCCTGTTTTCTGCACAGATGTTCTTTCCAATCATCCTTTAAGGCTGTTTCCTGACTAGGGCCTTGGGGACTAGTGGATAGCTCTCCATATCCCTTTCAGCTCCTCAGAGGCAGTTTTTGCAGAAGGATACCATTGGAGTAGGTCACCCTTCAGGCCAGTCCCAAGGGTGGAGTGGGGGAGCTTCCTCGTTCCTTGCCAGCTCCCTGGCCTGTTGGTTTTTCCCACCCCCGCTGACCTTTGAGGCAGAGAGAGAACACGGTTGCAGGATGAGTCATGTGCAAGCTTATGAGCGAACGAAAGCTGAGTGTTTGTCAACAGAAAGCAGAGCCTCCCCCTCTCCTCCTTCGTAGATGCTCTGTAGGTTGGCTTAGCAGTCAGCATTGCACTGTCCACCCAAACGTGCACGTTCACGGAGGAGGAAGCCGACTGGGGATGGAGAAGACGTTTGGCCAGGTGCACGGGTAGGACATTGCACACCTTGATTGTTCTCTGTAAACTAGGATGGAGTGTTTCAATTCTCCCTCTTCCTTGTTTTATTGAAACAAATTGTACAGGTCAATTTCGGAGTGGAGGTTTGATTTTTTTCAAAGTCGGTCACAGGTACAGAGTCTCCCAAAGTAAACTGTGTTTGTGGGCAGTTAACCACAGCCAAAATTCCATCACTTGGAAGTGTATTTAAAAGGAAAGGACGGTTTTATAAACATGGATGAATAATTGCCCAATTTAGAAAAGAAATTAATGCTCTAAATTTATATAGTATGTCTGCAATTAAAATAAAATCCAAGGTGAACTTTTCTTTTATTTAGCTTTTTTCTTCCCACTTCCCCTAAGGGTTTAAAGACACGATGAGAGAGAAGTAATACTAGCGAGGACTGATGTAGACTCATGAAACCATTGTCTTGGAAAGTGAGTGGGTGTTTGGACTTGGGAAGAGATTGATGGGCAGCTCTGATACTTGTTATGACTTATGCCAAGGACTTAGTGGTTGAAGGAAGAAAGCCTAGACTCTTAGCATGATGGGTGATCTTTGGGTGATCACCTGAGCTGTGCAGTGAGGTCTCGGCTCGAAGGCTGAATGTCTCCTTGACTTGATGCGGGTGACCAATTGTAACCCATTCTTGCCTCCTCTTCTCTTTCAGAGTTGAATGACAGTGTGAATGAAAATAGTGACACCGTTGGGCAGATTGTCCACTACATCATGAAAAATGAAGGTATGGATGTTTTCGTGTTCCAGAACAATTCCAGTATTCATATGTTTTATTAAAAACCTGCTTGGAAGAGTCAGGATTTATACGGACTCGCCTGTTGCTTTTTCTGAAGTTATCAGCAGCGCCTTTTACTAAACTCACTAACACCTCAGCTTCCCGCATCATCTGACCATGAGAGTTTCACAGAAGTGAGTGTACCACGAGTCAATGGGCCTGGGTGTTGTAGAAAGCCAGCCCTGGAGGCAACAGCTGACGTTCAAATCCTGGCCTTACCTCAATTTGGGGAAAGTCATGTTACCTCCTGGAGCCTCAGTTTCCTCCTCTATAAAATGAGGATAATGATAATATTTACCTCATAACATTCTTGTGGCATACTGCCTGTAAAGTGCTTAGTGTACAGTAAACACTCAAATATTATCTATTCCTTTTCTTGTACTTAAAAGAAATTGTGGTAAAATACATACAATGTAAAATTTATGTTATAACCATTTTAAAATGTACAATTCAGTGGCATTAGGTACATTCACAATGATGTGCAACCATCACCACTGTCTATTTCCAGAACTTTCTCATCACCCCAAACTGAAAGTCCACACCCATTAAGCAGTCACTCCCCATTCTCCACCCCTCCCCTCCCATCCACTGGCAACCACTACTCTGCTTTCTGTCTCTATGGACTTGCATATTTGTTATCTGTTCTTAAGTGTAAAAACTTTTTATGGATTTAAGCATCTTTTCCCCTGTGAAATGTATTCTAAACCCCCATCTTCTTAAATGGAGGGTTAATTTAATCTTGATTAGATAAATTAGAGCCCTTGCTCTGAACACTGGTGATTATCTTGATAGGATACTGAGCCCTCAGTAAATTTTGAGGGGTGTAGAACTGCTTGCCCACGTACCCAGTAGCTTTAGGTCCCCAGACTTTGAGTTCTCATGCGAATTGAACAGACAGCATCTTCCTGGGGCTGTGTCTTGCTCTAGTCAGCACTGACCCATGCAGTATGCACTGATGCAGCCGAGCCATGTGTCCAAAAGTTGAAATACCTCTGTATTGCTCATAAATACCTGCTGTTCCACCCCTAGCCCTTCCCTGGGGCCCTCCACTCCCCATATCCTCACTCTTCAACGAGGGCGCCTGCCCGGCCCGGGCTGTTGGTCAGTGTTTTTGACTTAGAGAAACAGCAATGTCGTATGGCTCAGCATAATTTTCATTGCTCTTTACAGAGCGTGCTTTATGTGTTTGGCATAGATCTAGGTGCTCTGTGTGTGCAATCTCATTTGATCCTCAGAATATCCCTCTAGAGTTGATATTATTATACCCATGTTATGGATGAAGAAACGAAGGCTCCAAGTGATTAAGTTCACATGGGTAGTGAACCACCCAGCCCTATCTGGGTCTCTTTCAACTATACAATATTGCCTCTTCTCTCTTCTAGTTTGTAGCTTTCAGTTTCTATAGGATATAAAACCAGAAAACCAACTTAATAGAATCATGTTTAAAATAAGAACAAAAAAGACCAGAACACTTGGATTTTGATCTCTGTCTTCCAGAGACCTTCCTTCAGGAAACAAATTTGGTGATGCTGTTTTTGAGCACTCAATGTTCCATGTTTCTTTTACATAAAAAAGTGGTTTTTAATTTGCACAAGAAATATTACAAATATGTTCTTGGATGGAAGCTTCAGCATTAGAGAAGTGCACAGAGTAAGGCATGGGTGGCCCCGTCATTGTTCCTGTGCCTTGCACATTTGAAACTGCCTCCCAGGGCTTTGGGGGACTTGGAGGCCTTTGGGCCCTGGGCTTCTGAGAGCTGAAGTTGCTGCTAAATTAGTGAGTGGTGGATGAGGCGGATTAAGACAGTTGAATCAATTGAAATAAGTCAACTGTTACAACTTTGCCGGGGGCGCTGAGGTTTAATAAGTCAACTGTTACAACTTTGCCGGGGGCGCTGAGGTTCTTACGCGTAACTTCATAGCACACACTAAGTGTTTGCTACATGCAAGACCTGTTCTAAGGGCTTTCCAGGGACTAAGAACCCTATGATTCAGATGCTTTATTCCCATTTTACAGTGGAGAAGCTGAGGCCCACAGTGCTTCACTAACTTGCCACCGTCTCACCGCTGGCAAGTAGCACAGCTGGGATGAACTCAAGCGTCTGACTCCAGAGTCTATACTTAACCACTTGCTGTTACTGCCTCTTTCCTGCAGAATGATAAACTTTTCTCCTTTCAAAGAGATAAAGTATACAGGTGGGGTAGTTTATAGAACTCCTTAAACATTAACTTGTTACTTTCTCAAAACTATCTTATGAGGTAGGCTACATTATCACCCCATTTTGCAGATGAGGAAACAGAGGCCCTGAGGGTAAGAACCTTCCCCAAGGTCACACAGCCAGCATGTGGCAGCATGGTGCCAGCAGTGGGCTCCTTCTCTTAATTACAGCAGAGGAGAAGTGTTTGGGTCCCTGGAGCAAGCATACTGTGTAATTTCCTCACCTCCCACACTCATGGGCAAATAGGGCTGTTCTTTTTTTTTTTTTTTTTAATTATATCCTTTTCCTTTTGGAAAGTGACATTTTTGTTTCTGCTGCATTGATTACCAGTAAGTACGTTAGAGAAATTCCAAGGCACTGAATTTCATTCTTTCTCCTCTGCTCCCCAGGTCTTTCCTGTCTGTCTTCCTCTTTACCCTCTTCCCCTGTCAGCACCTTCATCTGTCTGCCTCTGATTTCCCCAGTGACCTATGGGCATGAGTGGTGGCTCTGATCCTGTGTGTAGCCCTTGGTTTTCCTTGGCCCCCGGGAGACGTCTAATCTCATTGGACACCCTTTTCCAGCCATGGCCCTCTCTAGTTTCCAGGCTGTGCCCAAACCACAGCTGGGAGATGAGATACATACCTGGGTCTCTTACCAGTTGTAACCTAGCATTTTTCGTTTGCCTTTGAGACTTAAATTCTCTATGGAAAAAAGGCACTTTTATCTTTTCTTGTCTCTGTCGTGAACAGACTCTGAACTTAATATCAATTTAGACCTCCCTGTTGATGTTAATTTAACTTTCTTTTTTTTTTTTTTTACTTGTAAGCACACCGTAAGTTACCTTCTCTTTAAGCATTGAAAAGAAAGGAATAAAATTGAGGACAATTCATCCATTACTATTTTCCTATGTTTATTTAGGTCTTCTTTGCCTCTATTTACATATTTTAAAACATTTGCAATCATGATCTATGGCTAGTCTGCTTTGCATTTTATTTATTTATTTGTTTGTTTGTTTGTTTATTTTTTGTGAGGAGGACTAGCCCTGAGCTGACATCCAATGCTTATCCTCCCCTTTTTTCTTGAGGAGGATTGGCCCTGGGCTAACATCTGTGCCCATCTTCCTCTGCTTCATATGGGATGCCACCACAGCATGGCTTAGCAAGCGGTGCGTTGGTGCACGCCCGGGATCCGAACCTGTGAACCCTAGGCTGCCGCAGCTGAGCTCACACTTCACCGCTGCGCCACCAGGCCAGCCCCTGCTTTGCAGTTTTAATTTGGCTAATGGGGTAATATTTCACCTGTACTTATGGTGACATTCTTGTTTATGGTTTAAAACATATCATGGCTTGAATGTTGCAAATCAGGTTTGGTTTAGATAAATATCTCTTGAAGGATATATTTATGGACTGACTTCACACTGATTATTTTCCTCCTAATCCCAAAGCTTGGATTAACCACAGTGCTGCTTGTAATCTGTCTTTCTTTTTTATTTATTTATTTTTTTGTGAGGAAGATCAGCCCTGAGCTAACATCTGTGCTAATCCTCCTCTTTTTGCTGAGGAAGACCAGCTCTGAGCTAACATCTATTGCCAATCTTCCTCCATTTTTTTCCCCAAAGCCCCAGTAGACAGTTGTATGTCATAGTTGCACATCCTTCTAGTTGCTGTATGTGGGACGTGGCCTCAGCATGGCCGGAGAAGCGGTGTGTCGGTGCGCGCCTGGGATCCGAACCCGGGCCGCCAGTAGCGGAGCGCGCGCACTTAACCGCTAAGCCGTGGGGCCGGCCCAGTCTGTCTTTCTAAGTAGAGCTGAATTGAAGAGTATTTGGGCGGTCACTGGGGTTTTCTTGCATTGTATGGGAGTTTGCAGCCCTGGTGATCTAGTGGTTAAGGTCCCATGCTCTCACTGCTGTGGCCAGGATTTGTTTCCTGGTCAGGGAGCCACACCACCTGTCTGTCGGTTGTCGTACTGTGGTGGTCACATGTGTGAAAGGATGGCGAAAAAAGACCAGGCAGGGTTCTGCACTGCTGTACACAGGGTCACTAGAAGTCGGAATCAACTTGACGGCACTGACAAGAAAGGGGAGTTCGGAAAGTACTGCAACTCCATAGCTGAGCTTCTCTGCCAGGTCCTTCAACCATCTGATACAGTAACAGCAGAGCACGTGCACTTAACCGCTAAGCCACGGGGCCAGCCCTGATATAGTAACAATTGAGAGTATTATGATTACCCTCCAGGTGCCCCTCATTATGATTATTCATACTAGGCAGAGGGATTCTTTTGTAAAATTCTTACCTTGGGGCTCAATTTGTATTAGGGCAAAAAGGATTCCTTTATGAACTACATCATTACTGAGTAGGTTGCTGAAACTTCCTATAATGATTATGCAAACATCCTATGAACTGTTAAACTACTAATCATTTGGGTAGAGACTTGGACATTGAAGGAGTAGGGAGGAGTATGTCAGGGTTAAAACCACCCACCGTGGAGTCATATAGGCCAGGGTTTGTGTCTAGGTCTGTTTCTGGCTGCGTGACTCTGGCCAGTTAGTTACTATCTTTGGGCCTCAGTCTCTGTGTCTGTAAAATGGGGATGATAAGTCTACCTCCTGTTAGGGATGTCAGGAGAGTCAAACATGGTAAGGTCTGTAAGGCTTTTAGCCGGTGACTGGTGCTTAGTAGGCACTCTAATTTGGGTGATGGCAATAGTAGTTCTCCTTGCGGAATTTGCCTTGAGTATAAGGAAAAAC